GTTTGTACTAGAATGTTTGCAGCATGAGCTATTTTTTTTGCTACTCACAGGTCTTACCTTTGATATTTTACATGAGTGTTTATTAGTGCAAATGCACAAAGGAGCAGTCCATATCACGGGGATGAGGAGGGCGTGACAGCTTACTCAGTTTGAACGAACCTCGTTTCCGATTCGTTTCCTGCGGAGTATTTTCAATTGAGACATGCGCTACTTTATCTGATGCTGATAAAGGCAACTATAGTACTCCCGAAACGGCGACATCCCACAAAAAGTGCTGCCGTAAAAGGAACAGTCCGCGATTACCTATGAAAATGTGAATGATTGCATGGGAACGGAAGTGCCATTTACAATAGACAACCTTGGGCCAGTTTTTTTTTGCCAGCAGAACGTTGAAAGCAGAAGGCGCTGAAGGTGGAAGTTCTTTAGTGACTTCTTCTTTCCGAGGCTCCGCCTCGACCACCTTCGAAATCTTCTATTCGATAAGCGATGCCACCCAACGAGTAGCATGAAACGGGAGCTTCATTGTCGCTTATGTTGTCAGCGGGTTCATCATGAGGAATCATCGGACTTGTCTCAACGCGCGTCGCACAATTGCAGGAGGCCAGAGGGGTTCTGTTAGAGATATTTCCGACATGGCGTTTTCCAATTCTTCTTCTTCTTCACTGAGGAATTTCTTGGACAAGTTCTCTTCCATATTTCAACACCAACCAGTACCTAAACCTCATATCGCGGATCAACCCTTTGGGTGAAGGACGCAGACGAGCCCTCCCTATCTTCAAAATATGCAGTACTGCTATTGCCCCAGCCGCCAGGACCATATGACCTCGGTTCTAAGCAGATGTACAATAAACCGGAGGCAGCATTCCAGGAGAGGTCTGCCTTTTTTCAACAATAGTTCCCTGAAAGGTGGCGATTTCCACGGCATACTTGACTGGCTGGAATGTCGGGGTATTAACACGTTTCTGCACTCCAGGTGTTGCCTTGCCTGTGGCAGGTATGCTTTTAACGGTTGGGCCCCCGCGGCCAACAGAATTAATGCCACACTGTTGTTTATTGTGAACATCACGAGATAACCTTCTTTCGTGATGACGTGAATTGAACGCGTAGTAAAGGCTAACTACAACTGAACAGGCACGTTTGGAGAAATAACGAGGAGCCTAACCGTCCCTTAACTGCACCAATAGTGTGCTGACATCAGAATGCTGCGTGGAGAGTGCATCATCTGGGCACATCATCATTGTTTAAAATCCAACGCGGTCCGTGCTTGGTCGCTGAGGAGAAGGGGGTCATATTTGGCACTTTTTGTATGATAGTTCTCCCTTCGAGACTCGTTGTATTGCTCCTGATCGACCGCGTTGCACTACTGGAGGACTTCCCTTTCTTTGGTCATTTTATTACACTCTTCCCCCGTCCCGACCCCACCTGTCGCCAGAATTTTGGGAAAATTGGGCAAGGCGGTATATATCTTGTGAAAGGTGGAAGGGGTCCTAGCTGAAGGAGGAATTTGGGGGAGGATGTGCTCTGCAATTATTTTTTTTGGATTCTGGGCATGACAGCTGGCTGTCTCCGCCCATTTCTCTATCCCTCCAGTTGTCGCGCAATGTTATAGTCGGTCATCGCACTTGTAGTTTCAGGCATGCAGTCAATGCGATCTGGCGCTGCGTGCGGCGCGGTCGTCAGCACCCGTACTGCACCAATCGTTGAACCAGAGAGTGACATTACTGTATTATATCCTTCGTGTTACTCGTTTTCTATCACTTTTTGTCGCATACGCGTTTCAACGAAAAGGCTGAGAAGGCTTCAAACAGTGTGCACGCTCCTTCTCGCCGACACGCCCCTATCAAGTGCAAGGATGACGACTGTACCTTGATTTATGCTGTACAGGGAGGCAGGAGACATTTCGACGAGTCACATGATCATGCAGACTATTTCGCCCATCCAGACAGAGGAGTGGATCGAGCTGACCAGGGCGGAAAGATACCCAAGATGTTCCTCTATAAGCAGGAGCTGGCTCTCGCCCATCACCTTCATGTACACCAAAATATGAAGTCATCTCCAGTCGCAGCCTGACTGGAGAAGACCTTTAAATTCATGTCACCTCCAAACAGCTGCGAAACTTCTAGTATGGAGTCATCCATGATTAGCTACCTGCGGAGCAGTACTCTCGATCTGGAAGACCTCCAACATCGAGCAACTCCGACAACGTCGCTACGGTCCAGGATATCATCTTCACCTCAGTCGCCAAGGCGCCAGTTGATGGTGGGGACCGGACGTACCTGGAATGGAGAGACGCCCCCCCGGAACTGAAGGTGAGCGCTGCGCGGTTTACATCTGAAGATTTAGAAAGAGAATATCCTATCCGCATTTCAGTCTCCTTGTCTTAACACGTTGGCGACATTGCGTCCCACTGCTGGGACGCACCTTTTTTGCCGCGTGGGACATTGCGTCCCACTGCTGGGATGCGGCATGTGTAAAAGACCAATTTGAATAGGTTTTAAATTTCTAACAGCTACATATTTTATAGAGGAAGGCATTGTATAATATGCAGTAGGTGTAAACAATGCAGTTGTGTCATTGAGAGTATTTTACCAAGGAGGCAAACGAAAGTGATTTCCTTAGGAAAAAAAAGCAATTTTTGTATTTGCTAGAACTGGAGCTCCACAAGCAGATAGCTAATGGGAATAAAGTAACTTTCGACAATAGCAGATCTGGATCGAATCCGATTTACCACCTCTGCCGCGAAATTATTCCTTTTTTGCGACCCTATTTCCACGTCCCACGTGAATGAGGCGGGAGAATTCTATGGAAATTTCGGGTTTATCTTGGAAGTAATGGAAAGTAGCGAAGTTTTACTAGCTTCTGCAATGAATTCTTATCATTCTTCAATTGTTTTGGTGCATAAAAGCGATTAGCATTTATAGCTCGCATCGTCAAAAATAGTGAAAAAACTGCTTTGTCCCACGCGGCAGTACACGCCGAAAAAAGGGCATGCTGTCGCGCCAATGTGTTATGGAAACTTTGTACTGCTACAGGATTGGGTGACACCACATGGAATCAAAGGGCGTTGGGAAAACTCTTGCCTACTTGGAATGGAAGGGCGTTGAGTACCTGAAGGAAGGTGGAATATTCAAGCAGGTCATCTGACCCAAACCCCTCAATTACCTGGTTCGGGCGGAGTTCAATAGGGTGGTCTACAGTGGCGGAGAAATCAACGATCTCGCTGAACTCAGGCACCCACTCACGGTCGCGTGGCAGAATCTCTCGATGGCGCTCCTCCAGAAGGCTGTGGCGGAGTATCGTGATAGTATTTAATATGCTCTTTAATATGGTGGTAGAAATGTCCGATAGAATTTGATAAAGTGTAACTTATAGCGCCTCGAAAGTCAAGGAAGAAAAAGTCTTCAAGGAAGAGAAAAGTCTTTTTTTGGCCCCCCCTGTAGTTTCCCAGCTTGAATTTTCCTTTCTTTGGTCATTTTCATTTTCTATTTGACTTACAGAGATCTAAAACGACATCTTGATCATTGCAGTCTGCAATTCTTGATCCGGTCGGTATACTTACAAACTCGACCCCGGAATGTGAATTTCTTGACATGAAGAAACTAGACGACGATGGAATTCATCTGAACATCCAGCTGATTTATGCACCTATGACACCCACAACGATCAAGATTATGGAAATTATAAAGGTGAATGATTCGTCTGTCAGTCTCTCATAATCAGTTTGACATGCAACCTTCTGGCCCTAGCCGTAGGGTACGAGATAGCCTTTTTCTTAGCTGTTTACAACTGAAGTTCAGAGATAGGAGGGTGGTGTTCAGTCGTATTCAGCAGTTGCTTTTATTTGAGATCTTGAGAGTGTTCTAGATGCATTCTGATGCTCAATGTTTCGTGACAGGGTACAGCATCCTTGGGAAAATCTCATTGTGTGGTCGTATCAGTCCACGGGGTATATCTGGTCCTATGGTTGGTAGTAATTCTTCCAAGCCGCGCGATACGCAAAATTCCTTTCGCCTTTTGACGTTTCGCATCTCCCTTTTCATATGCGCTCACATTTCCCCTCTTTCTCCTCCTCCTAATTGGCGGCGCACCAAGCCAATATGCAAGTACCGTTCTTGATAGTTGACTTTAGGTGGCTACCTGCCATTACCCAGCTCGACAGAAGTTTTCTCAGGGGAAGACTGCAAAATCTCCAGAGAACGATGAGAAAACTCAGGAAGATGGCAGGAAAAGGAAGATGCTAGGAAGCTTGGAGAGAAGGGGGCTCTACTGGCACTGACCCCGCCACTCCGCCCATATCCCTATTTTCGTGAAGCTTGTGTTCAAGTGAGCCGCCCATCAGAGGAGTGTGGTTTAGATGTTCCTCCTCTCTAACTGCACTACCACCTTCCATTGCCACCACGGCAACACTCAGACTTCGCGATGATACGTTTCGGCGCGCAATAGCCTGTGACGCCTGAGACGGGAACACAGCCGGTGACAGGTATTGATCGACGCAGGCAGCCACTAGTGTTTTGAGAGAGAGTATGGGAGAATCGGAGGGTGCATAGCGTGATATTATGGTTAGGCATCAAAGAATATGAACCCGGAGTCACAGCAACGCTCCTTTTTCACGCCTAATCATGTAGTTTGAAACTCTTCTAATCTCCTGTACTTTCTGGAAACTGTCGCACACAGTCTGATGCTAACCTATTCTTCTGTGCTCTTCCAAGACACTAGCTGCCGGCGTCGATTGATACCTATCTATGGTTGCGTCGTTGGACTTGGGTTGGATTGGAGCGCTATTGCAATAGTAAGGCTGCGTTTATACTTTGCGGCAGCGTAGCGTAGCGCTTCCAGCGTACGCCAGCGGCAGTGCCGGGGAGAGGATGGATATCGATCTAGCGTTCCCAGCGTCACCAGCGTAACGCTAGCGTACGCCAGCGTTTCTCCAGCGTTTGCTGGCGTTTGCAGCGGCAGGGGAGTAGAGACTATAGTATGTGGCCGTCAGAGACGCGGAATCGATGTGTATTGTAGAGACTGAGGGCGAGTGAGAGACGCGCAATCGATGTGTTTTGTACCCTCCAGCTCTCCCATAGTCTCTACTCCCCTGCCGCTGCAAACGCTAGCAAAACGCTGGTGAAACGCTGGAGAAACGCTGGCGTGACGCTGGGAACGCTAGATCGATATGCATCCTCTCCCCGGCACTGCCGCTGGCGTACGCTGGAAGCGCTACGCTACGCTGCCGCAAAGTATAAACGCAGCCTAAAGCAGCATGGGGCGTCGACGCGCGTCATCGCGGACTCTGAACGTACCTAAATCGTTCAGATGACCATTTCACAATTTGTCTTCGAGCAGCAAGTACACCGATACGTTTACAGGATCGCTACACAACAACTATACCAAATCCACTGCTCTTTGAAGATGAAAATGAAGAAATTGTTTTGCCTTCGTACTTTCAAGCGAATATGTCGGTCAATGGTAGTTCTTGTGCGTCTCGTAATCCAGAATCAAATGACCAGCTACACTATACACTAACATTTGGATTTTTCAGGATTCAAAACCGAAGATGACATGGTGGAGTATGCGAAGGCATCGTTCATGAATCAGTGTGGTAATCCTCTACTAGGTAAGTGTTAGCATTTTGTTGATGGAAAATATCAGCTCAGGTAGGGGGAGGGGTAGCAGGCGACAGTGCGACTAAACCTGTTGTATGTGCTTCTTCTTGGACATGGTGCAGAGCATTACTTCTCAGCATCGCAGCCAACATGGCGACGCGGCTGCCATGTTGAGATGGTAGCAGCGTTGCGCGCTGACTGAACCACCCCCTCCCCACCACCTTGACTCGTACTGTGATATGGCTCTGTACTGTGATATCTGATACTATCAGAGTCGTTTGTACTTCATGATTTGATCGCTCTGAACGCGCGAGTGGCAATAGGTCATTGGAGCTGCCAAAGTGCTCGCGCGATCAGATTGACAGAGAGAGAGAGAGAGAGAGAGAGAGAGAGAGAGAGAGAGAGAGAGAGAGAGAGAGAGAGAGAGAGAGAGAGAGAGAGAGAGTTGGAAACGTTCTCGACTCTCTCTGTGGGAGTTGCCTTCCAAACTTTACGAAAAGTGCTTCGAATCAGATTCGCAGAGCCATACTCCTGACCTCACATGTCCTTCTGTAACTGTGTATATACCCATCCCGCTGATCCGCTGCCGTTGATTTTGTGTTGGCGCCTGTTGAAGCTACAGTACCACCAAGACAACGCTACAGGAAAGTTCCATAGCGTGCAGAGCTAGTTTATTCTTGTTCGACTCATGATTTGATCGCAAGGTAGTAAACCAAGTTTCGCGTATGATGAAACGATATCACTATGCGATGGCGCCTCCATGTGCTGAAGATAGGTAGATGGGACACATGGGATCGAATCCCGAGAACAAGGTTCGTCAGCGCTGGCGCAGGGTGTTTTAGAGATCATAGGAAGAAAAGGGTGGGAACGCATCACCTAATCACACAGCCTTGTACCCCCCTATTTAGGCTGCGTTCATACTTTGAGCGTCCACAACAACCACTAGCGTTCCGAGCGTCCGGCAGCGCCAGCTACTAGGAATATACAGATAGCGATCAGCGTCTGCTAGCGTCTTGAGGACTAGGGGAGCACTCGATGCGCGTAGGGTCTATGTAGCGGCTCGACCAGAGTTCTAGACCAGAAGTAGTATGGGAAGGCAGGAGGATAGCAACGCAGCTGCATTAGACTGTGGTAAAATTGCGGCGGTGTGCAACCGTGACCTGCACAACTACATTACACCGTATATTCACTTGCATAATTCTGTGCTTCAACAGTTGTGCGGTACGGTCGCACACGCCACAATTTCACGACGCCCAATCCAGCTCTTTGCTACCGCTCACAACTTCAGTACTTCTCTATTACTTGAGGAATGCTGCTGGGTGGGAGGTGGCGCGAAGCTATGTATCGATCAGCCCTAGCCACCCATGGTGCGGGACCGTCTGCAGCGTTGGGACGCATATTGGAGATGGCACTGCGTGGCGCACAGCATTTGACGCAAGTCTGACACACGTGCTCAAGATTTATGATATTCCGAGTTCAGTCTGATGAATTTGGTGGTTTAATTCGCGCTTGGTATCACATTTGTGACGATTCAGATTAGCCAACAGATTCGAATCTGAATTCTACTCTATCGTATTACGATTCGTCTGTCTCAACACGAATCGCGCGGCAAAGTGTATCTTGATATTAGCTTGGAAATGTACAACTCAAAAAATATGGTCCTTTTCAGAGTACTGGTTCGAACACTTACACACCGTGGAACACTCGTGTGCTGTTTGCAGTGCAATTCATCAGCGGACCCATTAATCCTTCAGAAAGTGATGGAGGATATCCGGGTTCGTGAGCAACCTGTTATTTCCAGATTGCAGCATTCACGAGACCTGAGTCTGACCTGATCAGTGCTTAGCCGCCAGCGCCGAAAACTACGTCTGGTCCTCCCTCCGCAAAAGTTACAGTGATAAAAAGGGCTGTTCACAGTCCTGTCAAGCGGAAGGCGGACCTACCGTATACCTGTCTCTATACGATACAAGTCCTCTTTAACTGCATTCAAATTCAATTTTCAAATTTATTACATGCTTCATGACATGTAATTGTGTAAACTGCAAAGAGCAGTCATATTCCAGGAAAAAGAAGAACAACAACTAAACAGAACGAACCAAAAATAAGTGTAAAGAAAGAAAAAAAAGTTAGAAAAAAGCAAGACCCTATTTCACACAATTCAAGTAAGGAATAACCGATTTTTTAAACAATGAAAAAGTATCGGATATGCCGGTATGTCTGGGTCTCATCTTTATAAGGAAGAACCCGCGAGTTACACCTCACATCAATGGTGGAATAGGGGTCCCATTATAGAGCCACAAGGGTTTTGTGTAACTCGATCTTGAACAAGGAAAGCACAAAAAACATGTCACCTGTGCCCTAGAAGAACCCATTTCGATCTCAGTTTTCAGACGTGCCAGTCAATCAACTCTATCTCAAAAGCTACGCACGCTCATGGCTGATTGTGACCGATGAAGATTTTCAACGATCCTGTATCATAAGTGCGATTATCCATGCTTTTTCGTCTTGGCAATCCTCATTTTTCATCTGAAAGTCGGTCCGTTAGGGCGGAGTCTGGGCGGAGTCCACTGAATAAGAAGAGACCACTGGAACCTATATTGCGCTCAGCCCGATAGAAAATTTTTTGCCCGCAAACAAGTACCAAGTTGTTCGTCGCGGAGCACTCCTGACGCCATTTCATTTTTCGATACGCTGGATCGCGGAGTTGCCCTTGTAAAGCATGAAAAAGGGGAAAGCAACATATGCAGCAGGACCACATATTGTAGATCGATGGTAATCGGTAAAAGACGTATGTGTCATTAAGTCCCGCAGACCGTTTTAGCAGAACTGAGGTGCGTTCCGAGCTTTGGAATAGGGCCAACAAGTACCTAGTGCTGGATTTTTCTCACAAACTTTTATCTATTCATTCGTCGAGTGGAACACTGCACACTTATGTACCTGCACGATGGATCTTTGCCATGCGCGAAGTGGGCACGTCCGCAGCTGTGAAATTGTGGTACTCCCATCACTTGGAAGCGCACGGAAATGGACTGGAGGGTTGTGATAGCTGAATGCCGTCTTCAAATTCACCCGCTATCCCCAGTGTGCGCTCTGTGCGACGATACCAGGGTCCCGCAGCAATCAACATGAAGGCGAGCAGCCTATCGTGGCCAAGTTTAGAAGCAAATAAATGTGAGAAAGCCCAGACAAGTAGTGCACTAGTGCGTTTGGAGATATAGCTAGGCGTATTCCTGCTCGCGTGGCGCGTCGCCTCCGTTGGTTTGAGTGTAGGTAGAGTCCGTCGTGACAGTTGGCTATTACTACCCTCCAGCTTGATTTCGGCGTACTTTCAACCGACAAAAGAAGGCAGACTTCCTTTATCCTTCATTCAGAACATGTATAAGGCAATGCTAGAGGGAACTTCCACAGCTCCGCATCCGTTCACCTCCGCATGTGGTAAGGATTGGGACCGTCGAAGACGACCGTACAGCGACTATCCTTGAAATTAGAAGAGTGTTCGTATTTGACGCTCCCCTAGTTCTCCGTGAAAACAGTGAAATTTCATTTATTCCTAGCTTGCTAGTGGCAGGAAACAGGGCAGCAATAGATCCATAAAATGATTAATGCCCAGACCCACCAAACCTGTTTGATTAATTAATGCCAGTTTTATTTGCGAAAGTGAAACCGCTCAATATTCATGAACGACAGGTCAGTCACCAGCAGATCATTCTGTGAGCCATAGACGGAAAAGGGAATAACCGGCTCAGAAGGTGTATCCTCAAAGTTCATTCGCTCTGACATAAGTTAGGGGTGAGTGAACAATCTAGACCTTGACAGCAGACGCACTCTGCTTAGGCAATATTTCCACCTCTAGAAGCCGTCGAGACACCAGTGCAATGTTCCAGAATACACGTCGATCAACTGAACTTGTGGGGTCAAATCCCGAAAACTAAATCGTTCACCATAGCGACTTGGGTCAACAACTGGGCGAATGGTGTCTTTCAGTAGCACAGCGGAAACTTCGAGTGACTAAATAAAGCAAAATAAACTGAGCAGCAGCTTCACACAGGCACAAATGCTGTAGGTCTCCTGGAGCTCGATGAGATGATTATTCTTCAGGCTACTGTGTGGTCAGTGACGAAGGGATTATCCTGCCTACAGAGAAATATTTTGGTAATAATACAGCACAATTTTTCATGTGCTTTGTCACCTAGCACGTCTTAAATTTTGATGGAGAGCGTAACGGTTCGTTTTTGGTCCCGCCTCCACTGCGTGAGGTATAGTACGTGTAAGTGTCTCTGTGTTCTAGTGGATTACGTTCATGGCATTCCAGTAGACATTCAACGAGCAACGCTCGCTGTCCTTTTGTTGAGTGCATGGATGATGGATACGCTGCCACAGGCGAAGGCACTTGCTATTTGTTAGGCATGGCCTGTTCTGGCATGAGGAGGGGCAATAACTCTGTCGGCTGCTCTATTTGTCCCCAACCCTAACCTTATGTGATTGAGATTCCAGTAAAATACCTTTGTAATAGAGAACTCTATTTGTGTTTCCAGGGTACTGGAGAGAAGGTTTCATGACGGTGCAGAAAGCTGTGGACAATGCCATTTATGAGATTCTCACCGGTCACCACATAGACATCTTCAACACTGATCTGATGGTGAGTTTCATGCTTGACTTCTCGTTAGGTGGTGTTCACAGCTCGTACACCTGCGACCGCGATTCATTTGGGCAACTCGAGAGGCAGAGAGCGAGAAACGGATTCAAAAATCTACCGCAAAACTGATCAGTGCATGGTAAGGCACTGCCGCACAGTCGCTCGACCAGGTTGTTGGTGTCGTACTAGGTTGGCGTGGAAAGTTCTGTCACATTTTTTCAAATTAGGCTTTCTTTTTATAGAGAGGCGTACAAGATCAAAATTATACAGCAATGTCATTGCGGAATCCCTGCCAGTTTTGAGCACTTCGTGGATGCCTGACAATGCA